CAGCTCCTTGTCGCAAGCTGCTCAGCCCGGTTCTACAAGGGCAGCTCCTCTAGGAGAGAACGGAGCACTGCAAATGCACCAGCAACGAGTTAGGCACTTTGTGAAGTGGCCAATCAGGCCGACTGCACTAGGTGGGAAACGCAGTGGCAGAGGTTCACACTCTAGCTCAACTGCCGCTAGGGCCCAACTCCACGTGGGACGTCAACGCTCCTGGCGTGCCTCTCTGTCTGCCCAGCAGCCAGCTCACAGGTCCCCATCCTGGACTCTGACATTGGCGATGCTTTCAGTCCTGGCACTGAGGGCTGGTTCAGAAATTCCCAGCTGCACTCACTTGAACAGTGATTTTTTTTTTCCACTCTGAATTCTTTAGCTGCCAAAAGGGGGCAAAAATCAAGAGCTGCTCTGAAAAGATCCTGCCCTTGCTGGTGCTCCGGATCAAAAATAGAGGCTGCTGCTCCGCACAGCTTGGCGGTCGCGTTCCGGCGTGATCCCAGGGAGCTGCCAGCAGGTGTTGCTCAAGGTACGGTAGCAGCCGATCAGCCGGCCGCAGGGCCGGGGTGTGGAGCCGCTGGGGGAGGCGGTAGGAAGTGAAAGAGAAACCAAACCGAGGAAGGAAGACGAGATGCTTGGCAGGAACTGGCCTGACCAGCTTACCCTGGACCCTGGTATTTGGAAGGAAAAAGAACACTCCCAGTCCAGAATATTCGGGAGAAGTTATTTTAACCAGCCTGCTTCCTCTACCACCTCCACCTAACTTCCACTGAGTGAGGAGGCATTTCCAGTGTGTCTCAGCTCTGAGGCTGGGGATTCAGGTAGAGAATTACATCACAGCTGGTGGGCTGACCCGGCAGGTGGGCATCTGATGGCATACCGAGTCTGAGTCACACATGTAGGGTGGCTTCTCTAGTCAGGGCGCTGTAGATTCCTGTGATACAAATGCTTAGAGAGGCATCTCAGAAATGGATCCACTTTATGGGTGAGAACACTGGGACCTGAGTTGCGTGGTTAGTATGCCATGGGACTGTGGTCTCATCCACGTTTGTCGTGTCCCCCAAACTCAAACATAATGATATTTCCAAGACACCAAGGTTCGTGTATGGAGGAGGAGGTGAGTTTAGATGCTTTGCAGGCCATTGCTCTCCTTGAGGAGCTCATCATATAGGGTGTGGAAGTTCCTTTCTTATGAAGAGGCTGAGTCCGTCAAATTCTAGACTGATGGTCAGGTTTGAAGTTAACCAACATTGATCCTGTTTGTATCTTTCTTTCTCATATTCCCTGTTCCTCTACAACCTAATGATTTAGTTTCACACATTATTTCTGCAAATGCAGTTCTTAGAATACTCCCCATCTCCCATATACAGTTGAGCATCCACACTTTCTCTGTGGTTGGCCAAGGCAGATCCTCTTAAAACACAAAACTTCTGGTGTCCTAAAGGGACCAGCTTAAACTACACATGAGGAAGCCAGAGCCTCTATATTTTGCTTGTGGGCATAGTGAAAAGTTTATTTTATGCATGTTAAGTCCTGCATACAAAACAACATATCTGGTCATATGGCTTTCATTAGCTCCCAATTTTGCACATTTTATTCCACTTGTCATGAGGACCCAGCTTATGCTTCAACTATACTCCAAACTACTCTTCTCCACCATTCTTGTCTGAGAATTCCTTCATCCTGTGTTATTTTCAACTTGCTAACACTCCCCTGTCCCCCCAAAGAAAATTCTGACCAACTTAACCCCTATTTGAAGGAATGGTCACTCACTTCTTTTCATTAATTTTATGTTATGTTTGTAACCACTTGACATTATAGGACTTCAAGGTATAATAAAAAAATAATGTATGAGATTTTGTTTTGAATGGGGGGATTCTAAAAATCTGGGAAGGGTAACTATAACATTCACTTGTAGAGAATGACTATTTCCAAAGTTCTTGATCATAAATGATTTATGAAGCAGGCATTTAACTTCAAGATATAAAATAATAATTTAATTCTGGGGAGGGGAGACCATCATCATATAGGTGTACATATTTTTTCTCAATGGAATATTTTATTTAAAAAAGTAAAATTAGAATACTATAAAGAGCACTGTGAATTTTCTTGCCCGTAAGAAACAATAAAATACTTTGTAAATAGAGGCAACTTCATAAAGTAACAGATATTTTATGTGAAGACATAAAACTGAACCTGAATATAACGAGAAGTGTGTGGGTACAGATAGTAAAAGAAAAGTTGCAAGTTGACACTCAGTGAGATTCCAGTAGTTTTCTAAAAGGTAGTCTAGTTAGCCAGAGGCTTACTGGCTCAGTGATCACCCAGTAGTGTCAGAGCAGCTAAGAAAGACTTTCCATTAGATAATTATTATGAAATATGTCTCACGCTGAAAAAACTAGTCATCTGCTGATGTCATGCTGATTCTAACCAATCCTAAACAAAGCCCCAGCCCTCCTGTTTGAGTGGTACCAATGTGTGAGTATACAAGTAAGTAGTGCAGTATAAAACTTCACAGTGCCAATACCATGAAGAGGAACTCAGACAGCTCTAACCACAAGATACAAGAGGCTGCTGGTGAAAGAGAGAGCACCGGAAAGGTAATGCTTTTTAACTCTTACTTGTTAGCTATTTACACATTCATAGTCAGAATGGTTAGAAGGAATTTTACAATTGATTGGCACTTCCATGCATATTACGATTTGAACCTTTTTAAAAATTATTCAGGCAAGTTGATACAGCTTTTTATAGTACAACATGCAAATAGATTATGTGTTTATACAACCCATTCAGCACATATATATGAGTACACATGCCAAAAACAAAGCTATTTGTTAAGACTTGCATTCATAAATAGCAAATTTAGGGAACACACACATATAGAGAGTATCCATATTTGCACTTATCTAAATACTAATATTAGGACTCAAGTTGTTTGGAGTCATTAAACTTTTACTTATAAAACTTAATTGGACTACAAAATGCTTTAGATAATAGCATTCTGTGATGCCAAATAGCTAGATTATATTAAGCATTAGATTTCAAGGGTATTTTATTAAACAAGTATAATGCAAATGCCCCCTTCTTTTTCTTTCACCATCTCTCACTAAAAATATTAGACTTTTTAGGGAATGTTGTCAAAGTCTTAACAATAATAGCAGAATAATTGATGTTCCTGGAGGTGAAACCCCAAAGGTGATAAATGGCTTATAACATAGAAAGTCTTGGGAGTAGTTGATTTGGGAAAGGGGGACAGTGTATCCAATTCAGAAAAACATTGTTACCTGTGCAAATTGTAATTTTAACTTAGTGTCACAACTTTCTCTCCCTCATCCCCTTCCCTCAGATTTTATGCCTATAGTAATGACATTTATTAACTTTCTACCCCCCTTCCCAAATTATCTTGCTTGACTATAATGTTCTGAATACACTAGGTGTCAGATATAAGCTGACTGTATCTACAGAAACTGAGAGTGCTTATGTGTGGGAAAGAAACCCAGAGGGAAGGAAAGCTTTAACAGATGGACCTCTTAAAGATACTTCTGCAAGATAAAAGCATTAAGACAGAAAATGAAAAAGGGGGTGGGGGTACAGGGAGGAGAATAAAGAAAAAAAACCTCAGAGAGGCATTGTTTAAAAATTCACATTTTTCTTTTACTGTGAACACTGAAATCCATGATGGTTTGTTTCATCTGTGATATTCCTTCTAGAGAAAAATAAGCCATCAAGGGGCCAGTACCTGAACACAGTGGTCTAGGGTGGGCTAGGGGTAGGCTGAAAAATAAACCGCATTACAAAGAAAATAATTTGCCAATGTAGTTTAGAGATTCTTTTCCCATAGGACCAGTAATTCAAGTTGTAGGAGCGCACTATTTGTGTAAAATAGTGTGGGAGAGGCCAAGTGAATTTTTCATTTTATCTGTGAAGTCGGGATAAGTGGTGGTAGGCTGTAATTCGTGAGTCTGAGAGTGTGCGTGTGTGTGTGTGTGTGTGTGTGTGTGTGTGTGTGTGTGTGCGTTCAGAGTAGAAGGGGGTGGCTTCTAAGGAGAGGGGAAAGTGCTTCATATGACAGGAGCATGTAAAATGCTGCCTGCCTGCCTGCCTGCCTGCCTCCTTCCGGATCTTTCAGTGCCCAGTGGCATTTTGCAGTTGGGAAAAGTAGAGTGTATTATATGACCTCAAACAAAAGTTCTGTTGCCCTCCCCTCAGATCACCTGCCAGTGTTGAAGATCCTGAACATTTAAATATGAATGAATGGGGAAACAGTAGATCTCCGGGATTCCCTTTGGCCAGATAAATTGACTGGTCCCTGCGGGCCTTAGGTCCCCCTGCCCATTTCCCCAATCTTCCCTACCCATTCCCTCACCTCCTGCACCCAGAGCCCCACCTTACAGGCTGACGGGCTGTGAATTATCTAGGGCTGTGGCTAGGGGAGGGTGGAGGGGCAGTGGGGACAGACTGTTCAATTAAGTCATCTCTGCTGATTGAGACAGTGTCTTTACTTGGGGTATTCTTTCCCCTCCAAAAGAGGAAGAAGGTGAAGCAAGGGGACTGGGCAAAGAAAAAAAAAGAAGAAGTAGAACAAAATTGGGAGAATTTCTTTCAGAAAGGAAAGTAGAACTCCCGAGAATGGTGCTATTTGAAGAGAGGTGTGTGTGAGGGAGCAGTGAGCAGAAGGAAAGCAGCCTGTCAGAAAACGGGCTGTCCCTCCCCTTCCTAATCACAGCCTTTACTCACAAACTCCCTCCCTCTCCCATTCACTCACTCACTTAGGGCCAATCGTTCTCTCTCTCTCTCTCTCTCTCTCTCTCTCTCTCCCCCCTCTCTCTCTCCTCTCTCTCCCTCTTCCTCTCCCTCTCTCCCTTTCTCCTTCTCTCTCTCTTCCTCCCTCCCTCCCTCTCCCTTCCCCCTCTCCCTTTCTCTTCTATCCCCTTCTCTTCGCTCTCCCTGTCTCTCCCTCCCATTCTCTCTCAGTCTCTGTCTCCCCCCCCACCCTGTCTCTCCCTCCCTCTCTGTCTCCCTCCCTCTCTCCCTCCTTCCCTCCCTCCCTCCTTCTCTTACTCGGAGACAGTCAGAACTCTCCTCCCTGACAGCCACAAACCTACAGCACTGACTGCATTCAGAGAGGGAACCTGCAAAGAAAACTTCACAGAAAACTTTTTGTTCTCGTTCCAGAGAATTTGCTGAAGAGGAGAAGGAAAAATCCAAACCAAACCAAACCAAACAAAAAACCTGTGCGTGAGGGGGGAGGAAAAGCAGGGCCTTTAAAAAGGCAACCACAACAACTTTTGCTGCCAGGATGCCCTTGCTTTGGCTGCGAGGATTTTTGTTGGTGAGTTGCTGGATTATAGTGAGGAGTTCCCCCACCCCGGGATCCCAGGGGCACAGTGTGGACCCCGCCTGCCCGTCCTGTGCACTGACCACCCTTCCCAAGGATGTACCCAACGCTCAGCCGGAGATGGTGGAGGCCGTCAAGAAGCACATTTTAAACATGTTGCACTTGAAGAAGAGACCCGAGGTCACCCAGCCAGTGCCCAAGGCGGCACTTCTGAATGCGATCAGAAAGCTCCATGTGGGCAAAGTGGGGGAGAACGGGTACGTGGAGATAGAGGATGACATCGGAAGGAGGGCAGAAATGAATGAACTGATGGAGCAGACCTCAGAGATCATCACGTTCGCAGAATCAGGTGGGTACTGGCACTGGGGGTGGGGGCGATATATTTCTCTGACAGTCATAGGAGCAACTTCTTTTCCCTCCAGCTGTAAGCTGCCTGGGAGGGTCATTAGTTATTAGGTGATAGTAGCAGGCAGGCAGAGGGGAGGTGGGAGGGAGGTGTGGGGGGGTGGAGAGGACTTCACAGAAATGGAATTCTTGAGCCCTGGCTGGAGATGGGTAGCTTACACTTGCTAAACTCATTTGGTCACCCGGAGAAAGCTCTAGGGCCAGTCTGGAGCTGGAAGCCTGTCTATGAGAGACTCCCTTGCTCTGCCTGTGAAACTAGATCTGAGCAGCCTGATGAGAGCTGGAGCATGTTCGGGTTCTGGGGGAACCCAGGAGGTGTCCAGACCCTATCCAAAGTTTTTATTGGAGGCGGGGTGGGGTGAGGAGTGCAGGATTGGATTGGAATGGCACAGATGAAGTCACTATCTTAAAACAAGCCTTCCCTTTAAAAGTCCAACCAGGGGCCACATCAGAGAAGCAGGGCAAATTTATTAGTGACAGTCATTTTTACCTTTAGATACCCTGTCTATGAGAGCACAGGCATCTCATGCTAAGCGGTAGTGAATGATTTTGGGGGACAGTTGACATTGACCCAGCAGTTACTTTTGAAGTACTGACTTTTGCTCTCTGTACTGAGGGGAGGAAAAAAAGAGTTTTGTTCTCTGTAAAGTTACTAAGAACTCTCTGCCAAGGAATGCAACCTTGACAAAGTGCTCTCAGATACTACACTGAACTCTCACTCAATCCTTAAGAGGAAGAACTTTAATAAATAGATTCTAATCATTGGCTCAGGACCACACTAACCTGTTGCTGAATAGAAAATACCTGTCAAAAGTGGAGGCTGGAGGTGGAGATCTGAAGCCAGGTTACTTTTGGTTTTGTGACATAGATCCTTTTGCATGCCTACAAGCCCATGCACACCAGGGCACACAGATATGTTAATACCATGCTACTTTCATGATAATGCCAGGCTAAGGAATCCTATCCCTTGGCAAATCTTTTTGAAAGGAATGCCATTGTTTTGTTTGTTAGAGCATATGGCCAATAAAGTATGTGCAGGGGCTCCCAGCATTTCTGTTTTAAAGTTTGCCACAGCAGGATAAACAATAAAGGCAACACTCAGAATTTCCAATCCTGAAAACCTGTTGACTCAGATGTTCTGTTTTCAAGAAAACCTTCCAAGACTTGGGCATCCTTTTGGGGGAGCAGATAGCCTGCTGGTTTCCTGGCTTCCCCCTGTTGGAGATGTCCTGCAAGCTTCCTGGCAGGGAAGTTTAGCTTCTAACCAGAACTTCTTTCTTTTAAAGAAGGTCTTACTTTATTTCCCTGAAACTCTTTCTTAATAGAGCCCCAAAGGACGTGAGGATCAGGATTTTATTCTTTGAAGCCTTTTGAGGAAAAAAGTCAGGTTGGAGTTTTCAAGTTACCACTCAATTTTTCTCAACCTTTCCTTGTGGTGAGGTAGGAAAGAAAGTGTTCAATGACTTTGGGTCCTGTGCAGGGAGTGAATTCCGCAGTCCAGAGGTCAGCTCCCTCTCCTGACACAAAGGGACCCTGTATGTTTTTATACACCAGTGGCCACACATGATGGCCTTAACTGCAGCTCCCCCTCAATTGGCTTTGCCACATCATATGACTAGGTATACCTATGTCTTTGACCGCTTTAATATACTAATGCTAGCAATATGTCCCACTTTCTGATCCTCATACATGACTGATCCCTATACATGACTTATCTGACATGTATAACAAACCACTCTCTTGGCATTGGGAGATTTTGCAGTGAAAGAATTTGACCTTTTACATTTTTTTCTTACGGTATTTATGGACTTCATCTCAGTGCCAACCTTTTCCTAAGTCATATTAAATATTTTCACTTTTAAAAACTTTTCTTTTAGGTGTTTAGTGAGAAAGAAACTGAGCTACTTTTAAAAAAAGTGATTCATTTGACTCATATGTTGACTAAAGTTTGAGGTTGGTAATGGAAAACTACTCTTGGTTGAGTTTATAACTCAACTTTGGGCGAGTTGCTGTAGTCTTAGACAAAGTTTATTGCACTTGCTTATATTTCTCATCTGGGAAGTTTTGTCAACTTCAAGTTGATTTAGTATGATTTCACAGATTTAATGATTGCTGTATGAACAATCTGTTCTCCAAGTAGAGTACCATGTGAGTATGTTGCCACTATTTTCTTGGGAAAGAGATGTATCATATGAATAATTGTAGTGAATATATGCAAAAGTCTTACATTTTTGGAGTAATTAAACTTTAATAAAATTCAAACTATGTCAAATGTCACGATTTTTAGAGACTAGCAAATGACATTCATTTTTCTTTTCCGTATAAACTATTTTGTACAGCATAGATTCCAGTCAGTAAGTGTCACCTGCATGTATGCCACAGATGCACACCCATAGATGCAGCTTTCAATTTCAAGATTCCTCATATTTAATTTTTGCTTCTAATCTCCTTGATGGTTGAGTAAAGTCAAGACATGACCATAGCAGTTGAAAGAATGCAAAAGTTCAAATGCTTAGAACTCTTTGAACAGAGTCTGTCCCATTGTGCTCAAGTGAAAAGTGCCCCATCTTTGTAAAACTGCTATGAGTTGTTATTGAGTAAGTGTCTAGGAATCACTCTTAAGCTCTCTGAAATTTATTCCAACAAACAAAAATGATTTTATTTTTATTTATGTCACCCAAGATTTCTCACCAAGATTATTACATTCTTTGCACAGCTGGCATAGAATCTTTTGTGTTTAATACATTAAAGGAAAGGACGAAGGGATGGGCAGACTCAAGGCAGCTCTCACTACGCTTGTCATTGAAGCTAAAGTCAGTGCTCTTCTTGATGGCTATTATCTTATTTTATCATATTTTGACTTGTGACAATAGCTGGTCAGTCAATGTACAGTGATGATTTAGCACTGAGTCTCCATGTGCTGTCAAATTTATATGGTGATTTTGGTAATTGAGTTGGCAATTGATAGCACTTGTTGAAGAAAGACAAAACATTAGGAATTGGAAAGTTCTCACATAGCCTAGTTGTTATTGAAATCAACATTATTTTCTCCTTTCATAGAATCTAGTTACAGAGGATGAGTTAGAAATGCACACTTCCCAAACAGGGGTCTAAGAAGGCTTGCTTGGGTGACTATTTGCCCCACCCCAAGAAAGCCATCTTAAGGTGGAGTCGACTCCCACCATTCTATTCCAGTCCTCTAAACTTCTCTGTGAATACTACTCACTGAAGGGTATTTTACACATTCTTCTCTGAATAATGGGAAATGATCAACCACACGAGGGCGCATTCCAAAGACTTTTTTAACCTCCTAGGGAAACACAATTCACCTACTAGAAGCCCCAGTCTGTAGCACCATAATCTTAGTGGTTAACAGTTGCTGCCTCTACTTCTCAGCCAGGAAAATTTAGGATTTTATGGGATGGAAGGAACATGAATACCTGTAATACATTAAATGAGGCACAAGGAAAGGAAATAGGAGTTCAAGTGGTACATGTGAACTTTCCCAAGCTCTATGGAAGACAGAGGAATGATAAATTTCAGAAGCAAACAAAACAGAAATGTGACCGTGAATCATCAGCAATACTGATTTGCTCACACATCTCCCCTTAATACGGCTGACTGGGCTTTTACAAAACCTTCTTCCCTTTCCCCTGATTTTGTTGCCTAGCTTGCCTGTCTTATCAACGCTTTTCACAAGCAGCAAATGACAAGTGAATGTGAACAAGGAGGAAAAGGCTATTTATTTAACGCCTTGTGGGAACATGGTGTACAGCTTTGGAGGATGTGTTTGTTTCCAAACTGAGAGTGTGGAGAGAGAAGAAAAGATGTGAAAGAGATGAATAGTGGTTTGGCCTGTGAAGTAGGTGTATTAGAGTGGGGGTGGGAGGTGTCAGGGTAGAAACTCCGTTTTAACATTTGGAGAACTGGGAGTAATACCTTCCCAGGCACTTTTCATGAAAATACATGTTTGTCTTGGCCCTTTTTGCTAAAATATACTTGAGCATACTCTCTGGGCTGTATTTCAGAATTCTTTATACTCAACTGGTTCCTAGGTCTCAAATCAAAAGTGTAAAAGTTCTCAGGAACTTTGGAAAAGTCTCTGAAACCCTGTGTGTTGAACTTGAAGATTTTTTTCTCCTTTTTTTAGGAACCTAAAACCCCTTTCTCTCTAAATATTTAACTATTTTTTCATCACCACTAAAATTAAAGTGCAGGAATGTGGCTGATCATTTACAATGCAATAGTAGATCCTAAGCAATGATATTACATCTAAAAAAATCAATCAAGATAATTTATAACCAAACCTGCAGTTCTGCAACAGGCCAGGCCCTCTATGAAGAAATCCCTGGAAGCAGCCTAAATGCAAAGTTAGTGCTTCAGTAAACACTTGTCCTGTGACTGGTAGCTCTGTACACTCCTACCAGTGACTATACCATATCTAGGCACAGTGAAACCGTGATGAAGAATGGAAAATTACAGTAACAGCTGTAGTTTACACTGAAGCTTTCCCTCCCATGGTGAGCTTAAGTCCTGTGTAAATAACATGGCTTTCCATATTAACATTCGAGATATTACCCATATGTAGAAGGGCATCATGCTTTATGCAGGACCACGGTGAGGAAAACAAAACAAAAACAAAATACTGTGCGTATTGCTCATTTCATTGGAAATGTTCATATGCTCATCTGCCCACAAATCTGAGATGCTGGACTTGGGTGTCGAGCTGCATCCTGGTGTGGGGGAAGGGAACAATGAGGGGCTTGGAAGCTTAACCCTTTGCATTGAGTTATTACAAACATTTGAAAAATTCTGAAAGCAAAGAACAATCTGTTTTTAGGTGTTTTTACTTTCAGCCTACACAGTCTTTCCTCTTTCTAATCCCTCCCACTGGCAACATCTCAAAGGTGTTCCCTGTAAGATACAAAATTTATCCCTCCTACCCATTTTAATGCACTTTTTTCTCTCACTTTGGAACATGTCCACTGAGGTTTAAGTGATGAAATATTATCACCCACATGGGTTTGCGTGGGACTTTCTTAGTGAATTACTCAGGCAGAGCAGGCTGTGATACAAGCCTTGCTCACAAGCCTCAGGAAAGAAAAAAAAATAGCACAGAGGATGAAAAGAATATTATCAGAGTAAGTAATGAAAGGTTAGCAAAGCCACCAGCTATCTCTTATTAAATAGGTAATAGGGTAGGAACTCAATGTGCACCTGTAGAGACTATAATGCTGTATCTTCTCACAAAGCATCACGGGAAGCCTTCCATTTCAGGATTTTACAGCAGGAAATATATTTAAGTCAAACCTGAAACTGATTAGTAATTGATCCTAAACACCTCAACCTTAGGCAACCTCTTCCATTTTTCAAATTGTTAAGAGTAGATATTTGAAGAATGAACCATTCTGAAAGCATCACTGTAATAAAGCAATCTCTCCTAGGTGATATACAAATAAAGGGAATATAATCAAGAAGCTAGTTATATTTTTCATACTTCAGAAATTTGAGGGTTTTAACATCCTTCTGAAACCTACAGCCCTGTTAAATGTTAATTCCATCTCAGCTTCTAGCCTGTCTCATTCTCTCCACCACCTTCTGCAATGAAAGCTAAATGTAAAAGGAAAAATTGCACTGTTTAATAAGTCAGAATATAATAAAACTATTAAAATGTACCTGCATATAAGGTAGACATTAAGAAGACTTGATTCTCTCTCTTCCCCCTGTTCTCCTGAGCATTATGGCAACAGCATTTTCACGAAATGGGATCTCAGTTTTATTTAATTCCCGATAAAATATCATGCAACATACAAATAGCAGTTCCAAAAATGGACACCAGGAGAAGGAGGCGACAGGCATGTCAATTTGTAAGGGGAAAATCCAAATGTCAGAAATATGGGGGAGAGATACAGCATGCAGGCAATGGATGTGAACGCAGGGAACAGCCTTTCAGCTCAGATAATGAAACTGATGCATAAATCAGTGCCCGTTCGCTCCACAATACTAGGTGATTCCATACAATTACCCACCAGGACCAGAATGAAAGTCATTTTATGATGACTCTCTGATCCTAATATAACAGCACCTGACAGATTGAGTCCCCTCTAATGAGTACTCTCTTTGTACAATCCTCTCTCAGGAACACTAAATCATTTGCTTCTCAGTACAGCTGCCTGTGAAGAAGGGGCGGGGCTATCTCGTGCATTAGAAACCTGCTCAAGTGAAATGAAGGGCTATCCTATAGGCCGTTACTGGAAGTAAGCAGCCTGGATGGCCCTGCTAATCAATTTGAATGTGCTGTCACTGGTTTGTCTCCAATTAGCTCTCTCTCTCTTCCTCTCCTTCCATCATCTCTAAACATCTACGGACTTTATTCATGGAAAATCCAATGTGGTTGAGGTCCATATTGCCATCTGTCCCCTCACTTTACCTGAAGACCATCTACCTTCAGCCTCAGCCACTCCTCTCAAGCATGGGTCAGAGCAGAGCATATCCTGTGGGAATGAGTTACCTGAAACCAAGCTCACCCATCCTAGGGACAAGGCAGATTCTCTAGTTTCACACAAGGCAGATTCTTCAGTTTCACACTTGTTCCTAGAAAAACAAAACACAACCTTGTGCCTTCTGGCTTCTCTAATTTAGCAACTACTTTGTATCTGTTTTTAGAGTGGCACCCTACACAGTTTAGGATTTCAGAAGGGAGGCAGAAAGGAGAGAGCAATAGGGAGCTTGTTAACATTCTCCACCACAGGGTGCTTGTGCCCTCAGTGGGGGGGCTTATCCCTCAGTGGGGGGGCCTGCACAAAGACTGCACCAGGCTGGTCTTCAGAGGCTTGGGAGGCTTTGGCAGCCTTTACCTCTGGGCTTGGGAGGTCCCAACCTACCACCTTAAAATCAGCTGCTGATTGTCTTTTTAAATAAGCTCTCCTTTCTGGAATCTTCACTTTAAAAAAAAAAAAAAAAAAAGACAACAACACACAACAAAACAAAAAACCCTCCACCAATTTTAGCAAAAAGAAGTATTGGGTTCATTTTTTTTTTTAAGTTATCATGCTTCCTAAAAAAAGACTGCTTCCCCCTCTTACTGTTCCTCAATCTGGTGATCTAATCATAAACCCAGCTTTTATTATTCATTTCAACTTCTGCCAGAGACATGAGGTCAAAGGAACACCCCTCACTACCACCATTGAGGCCAGCCTCCTAACAAGTTTATACAAAGATGCCAGAGAACCTTTCATAAACAGATGCAGCCCTCTTTGGTCTTGACCTCAGTGAATTTACCATTATCATAACCACTGTGCGCAGAGTGTTAAATTAAGAACAGAATCTACAGTGCACAATATGCAGAAAGGCCTGCCTTCTACTGCAGAGAACTTGAAACTGTGCCTAGAATTTATAGTACCGTAAACATCTCAGGGTGGGGAGTGATAAGTATGGCTGGATTTCCGTTAGCTATGGAAATCCAGGCCTGGAGACCCTCTTAGGGAATTGTAAGTTCTAAGATGAACTATTTAAAGACTATTGTCAGATTTGTACATGGGATGCATGTATGCCAGGCAGTTATAGGCAGGTACAAGCAGAGGGTGGTCATGAAAAGAGGGCATGTTTCATATACTAACAAGTGATGAAGTGGAAGTAAGGAAAATAATTTACAAATCAAAGAGTTGTAGTCTGAACACCTGTATCTTACAGTACTTGTCCATGAGTAAATATACAGGTGCTAGTGGAAAGAGAAGAAAATAAATGACTTTCTAATTTTAAAGTTAGGTAAGAACTGAGTGGTTGCAGAATCCAATCACTCCACTGATGTATGGATTTTGCCTCTCTTAGCAGCAGGTGTATTAAACTGCATTAAAGGAAGGAGACACAAATGGGAGATTCAGAGGTAGGAGATAGATCTCTTAATTTAATATAACTCAATGCTAAGGATACCACCATTTAATAAAAGAAATCAAGCAGTTGCCTACTTTCTGCTAAACTCTGGGCTATGACACTTCACAAGATAGATAGGACCTCAGACCTGGGCATCCTAAGTAGACTGGCAGGAGAATAGGGGCAGAGGTGTTAGGGAAAGCTTCTAGAATAAATAGTGTTGTCCCATCTGCTATCTGAAACCTTATTAAGAGCAGCCGCTGCCGTTTGTGTGTTGGGAGCAGGGGTATTCTAGACAGAAAGAACAGCAGGTTTCACTGCCTGGCGGTAGGAGAGTGCTTAAAACTTCAAACCCTGTGTGGCTGGATCACAGAGGATGGGACACAGGGAGAGAGCTGAGGATGAAGGCAGAAGCAGGTCAGGCAAAGCCCAGTATCTTGGGCAGTTTCTGTTTTAAACTGAGGGTAATAACAACTCAGAAAGGGACTGGAAAGAATGAGAGACATGATCAGAGCCACCCTTGGAAAAGATTCCTTTTCCTGTTTCATGGAGAAATGATTGCAGAAGGGCTCGGTTCCCTGTTGGAGAGGCAAATTAAACCGAAAGCTGATGCCTTGTACCAGGAAAGAAGAGATGGGGTGAAAGCAGGTTTTGTGACTAGGAAGGGGAAGACTACATGCCACACAGATTTAGGGGCCCACAGGGGTGGGGATGGGGTTTGTTTGCATATTTGTGTGGGAATAATATGGCCACTGCTTGCTAGAGCTTACAGTGCATTTTTATTTGTTATCCCATTTGATCTTTCCAAACCTATTGGATAATGGGTTAGATGTCATTATGTCATTCCCACTTTACAGAAGATGAAACTGAAGTTAAGCAAATGGTTAATGGATACAGTCCCCATAAACCCTTACACAAACTCAGATGTAGGCCATCTTCTTTCTAGAGCAAAAGCTAACCAACTTTTCCTGTAAAAGACCAGAGAATAAATATTTCAGCTAGTGGCCCAGACAGTCTCTATTGTAGCTACTCAACTCCACGTCAAAGTGCAAAAGTAGCTATAGACAAACTTATAAAGAAATAAGCGTAGCTGTGGTCCAATAAAGTTATTTACAGGCACTAAAGTTTAAATTTCATGTAATTTTCATGTCACAAAAATACTTTTTTTATTCAATCATTTATAAATGTCAAAACCATTCTTATGGCCTGTGGGCTATAATTTGCCTGTGGGCTATAATTTGTTGATACCTGTTTGAGATGGTCTGTAACAGAGACCCCAAGGTGGCCTGAAATTAGTGAATAGACACAAACAGAGGAACTAACAAGTGTCCCTGCTCTCTCTTGTGCTGTTTCATTTTCAGGCACAGCCAGGAAGACACTGCACTTTGAAATTTCCAAAGAAGGCAGTGACCTTTCAGTGGTGGAGCGTGCAGAAGTCTGGCTCTTCCTAAAAGTCCCCAAGGCCAACAGGAACAGGACCAAAGTCACCATCCATCTCTTTCAGCAGCAGAAGCACCCACAGGGCAGCTTGGACACGGGGGATGAGGCTGAGGCAGTGGGCTTAATGGAGGAGAGGAGTGAACTGTTGATATCAGAAAAGGCAGTGGATGCTCGAAAGAGCACGTGGCACATCTTTCCTGTCTCCAGCAGTATCCAGCGGTTGCTGGACCAGGGCAAGAGCTCCTTGGACATTCGGATTGCCTGTGAGCAGTGCCATGAGACTGGTGCCAGCCTTGTGCTCCTGGGTAAGAGGAAGAAGAAAGAAGAGGAGGGGGAAGGGAAGAAAAAGGCCGGAGAAGGAGGGATGGGAGGAGATGAGGAGAAGGAGCAATCCCATAGACCTTTCCTCATGCTGCAGGCCCGGCAATCTGAAGACCATCCTCATCGGCGGAGGCGGCGGGGCTTGGAGTGTGACGGCAAGGTCAACATCTGCTGTAAGAAACAGTTCTTTGTTAGTTTTAAGGACATTGGCTGGAATGACTGGATCATCGCTCCCTCTGGCTATCATGCCAACTACTGCGAGGGCGAGTGCCCAAGCCATATAGCAGGCACATCAGGGTCATCGCTCTCCTTTCACTCAACGGTCATCAACCACTACCGCATGCGGGGTTACAGCCCCTTCTCCAACCTCAAGTCGTGCTGTGTGCCCACCAAGCTGAGACCCATGTCCATGTTGTACTATGATGATGGGCAAAATATCATCAAGAAGGACATTCAGAACATGATAGTGGAGGAGTGTGGATGCTCGTAGGGAGGACAGTGGCAAAGTGAAGCAATGTTTAATGTTTCTGAGTTAAACAACCAGAAAAATAGATATAAAAAATAATAAACAAAAAAACAAAACCTGAAACAGATAAAGGAAGATGTGGAAAAATTCCCTGTCCAGGTCTCAGAGATGAAGCAGAGAAAGAGAGGGGAATTGGGAAGGAAAGGGAAAATGGAGTATTCTCTATTTCTTCTGGTATCAAAGTAATGATATCAGTTGCTTAAACAGGAGTATTGTCCTCCCCTTTTCAGTTCCCTTCCAGGGTGAGCCTCAAAGTCAACTAGTCTAGTCTAAAATAATGTGGGCTAGTGCAACCCAAATAACAGCTAGAAAGCCATGAGTTTGAAAGAACCAGTTACAGGCACTTTCCCGCCCAGATACCCAGGTCATAAGGTATGTCTGCCTGACCCTCTCTCTGTGTATATCAGTGTGTGTTCACACACACTACACCCCTCCACACATACACACATACCACAGATCCCACACCCTCAGATTCCCCCCTTCCCCCAACAGTCAGATACCCCCTCCCCCCAAGACACACACATACCACACACATGTATATGAACACACACACAGACATTTCTACATACCCACATACATACACATGCTGGTAAATGAACAATAGTGTTCAGGTGGTCACACTTCCTTTTTCTGAACCACTCTCACAACAAAACAAAAGCCAACATAAAAAATCTGAGAAGAATAGAAGAGTAAAAGATCAAGAAAAAAAGAATACCAAGTTATATTTCGTTAAGGTGCTTATGATCTTAGAACTATGCAACCTAATAGGTTTGAAACTGTTTACCTGAGAGAGAACAAAAAAAAGAGACTCTTTTGTATTGGAAGTAACCTGATTAATTTTTATTTTCTTCAAGGAGAGATACTTGAAAGGAATATGTTTGTCCATCTGTTGGATCCAAACATTTCTATATTTTGTAAATGTTGTTTTTTTTTATCGTTTACTATTTGCACTATGATGGTGTTTGACCTGTCCAATCCTTATTTAACAAGTATTTTCTTTGGGTGGGGATGGGGGAGTTAAGAGCTGCACTTAATGTGAGCTATAAAGAACTGCTACAGCACACAAAATAGCTATTTTTATTATTATAATTATTATTATTATTATTTTGTACCTTAAAAAATAGACACATACACCAAAGACATTTGTGTGAGCCTTTAAACTGTCTGTGGTTGGTATCATTCACCATCAATGAGTCAGGGGTTGGGGTTCAAGGCTGAGGAGGGTGGATCATGTTCAGGCTTAAAAGACCTAAGAAGTTAGGTTTTTGACTCCTTTTATATCCATGAAACAGGACATTTCATACTGGATGTACAGTAATTGTACACTGTTGGATATCAAGTTTAATCAGATTCATAAATGCTACATACTTATATGTGTATATATATACATTGCTTGTGCATATGCATATCTGTGTGTATATATACATGTATCACATCATGTCCAGACACATTTTAAGCACTTCAGGATGTCATTTTTTAATGTTCTTAAAGAAATGAATGTGTGCAAAACACAGTATTTTTAAGAAGGATAGGCTATAGTTTTTGATTTTACTCGAACTAGGTGGGCACATTTCAAAAATTTTGATGGGGAAAAGCCTGGAAATTCCCGTGAATATTCATCAAGGCCCTCTTTCAATGCACAGAGTTCAATTTCCTCCTCTTTCTTGTCCCATACTCCCATCCTACAAGTTATTCCCTACAGGGAAAACAGGAAACTCATGTTCATCAGAGCTCTAGAGTGATTTTTTTATTTTTTATTTTTGCAGCTTAGAGCTACGATCTATTGGAATCAATCTTAAATCAGAAGTTTTTTCAGAAAAAAAATTTAATATTTAGTCCAGAATAAAAGAGTTGAGTGCAATTTTTTTAAATTATTACGGCCTGCTTGTGGGAAATATTACCTGCACTACTGGGCTAAATAATGTTGCTGTCACTAGTTAAAAGAGAAATAATTTGGGAGAGGCCGTTAAGAGAGAAGTAAGACAGAGAATAGTTAAGAGGAGGTAGGGATGGGCAAAGGAGTAAAAATCCCTAGTATTTTAATTTATAGCACAAATTCTTAATGTATAATTTGGTATGTATTGATCAGATGAAAAATGGGGGGGGGAATCTACTTTGTTTTATAAATATCAAAGCACACGCTTAAAGCTAAACTTTTACTACTTTAATCCAAAGTATTTAGCTTGCCTAGAACAGCTATAAGTTAATCATTTATGTGCTTTTTATACAGAGCCTTATTTTTACTGACTTCTTTGAAGTTTGAAAAAATTAAAAAATTCTTATAATTGGGGAAAATTACATTCATTAATGTTTTGTAAAATATTGAAACAGCCCTATGTCAATTCATAGACTTAAGAAACAATTGTAGGAAAATAAAATATTAGTGAGAAATCAAGTGTTACAAAAAGTGTTTTAGCTCTTCTTGTACTAAATCAGTGTACAGTAAGATGAAGCTGTATGTAGATAAATCACTTTTTTGTCATTACCTGGCAGATATATTTACTACAGTCTAGCTGCCGACCACTTTTCATGCAGAAAACACAGTAGGTACTGCATGAAAATGGACTCTAATTAAGTATGAGAGGGAGAGCATGCAAAATTGGTACTTACTTCCTCAGTCTTAACCACTTATCAGGAAATCAGGCAGGTGGGGGAGGTGGGTGTGGTGAGGAAAGTTTTAAGGAGAGAAGTAGATGTTAATGTTCATAATTTACAAATTTTCATGAAAAACACTGAGAGCCTTTTGAACTGCCTTTTATTTGGAACTGGGCCAAAAATAAAGCACGTTCTTGTTCATTAGGCAATAGCAGAGATGGCCAAGACCATGGAAAAAGAAAGAGGTTGCAAAGACCGTTGACATGTATGCTGTATCAAATATGTATGCCATATTTTAAGTCCTTTAAGTCCACAAAATATGAGGATAAGATAGAGCTTTATTAGTGGCCACAATAACTATAAACAGAGCAAAATTAAATTCCATATGAAAATATTTTAATGGGATGATTTAATTTAAATGAATTAGGTTATCATACATTTACAAACTTTAACTTATTTTATTAAATTTATATAGCTTTGAAATAGAATTATAAATTGCTACTATCTGCAATAATCTTGGAAGATATAAAGTTTTGTGAACAACCATACCTTTCATGTAGCAGCAGAAGGGGAAAAAAAAAAAAAAAAGCTTTTAAATTCTTCAGTATTGGATTCTTCGTAGTGTTTTTTCCTTGGTCTGATTTTGGCATCTCTCTCTACTTGTTCTTTAGACCTGATTTCTAAGCTCTTCAAAGTCTACCTATACTAATTTTAAAAGCTCTGAAAAGCATTTGTCACCAAATATCTTTTAAGAATGGTAACTATTTTGTAGAGTATTGAAATTTTTGTTCTTTTGCTAAAATGTAAGACAAATTTCGGCACACGGATTTGGGATTTTTTTTATCCCTGAAGACCAATCAATTTCTTATTTATTTAAGATTGATTCCACACTCTGTTTTCAAGGAGAGTGACTGCATTCCCCACTTAGGTAGAGCAACAGAATTTTTTTTCTACCCCCATGGGATTGGACCTTGAGGTGACTCCAAGAAAGGAGTATGCAAATGCCTCAGTTATATTGAGTTTATGTTCAAATTACCATGTTCGCTTGAAAAAAAATCATTTCCTGTGAGCCTTTTGGCAACTTCCCTTTTTAATGTAAAGAAAAACTTAGTCACCCTTAAAACCTACACAATAAATAAACTTGTAGATGTGGGCAGAAGGTTTGGGGGTGGACATTGTATGTGTTTAAATTAGACCCTTTGTCACTGAGAAGCTGTTGTATGGGTCAGAGAAAATGAATGCTTAGAAGCTGTTCACATCTTCAAGAACAGAAGCAAACCACATGTCTCAACTATATTATTTATTTTTTATGGATAGAGTGAATCATATCTTCTGTATTAATTTCCAGTGGGTTTACCCTCTATTTAAATGTTTTGAAAAACAGTGCATTGACAATGGGTTGATATTTTTCTTTAAAAGAAAAATATAGTTATGAAAGCCAAGATAACCTGAAGCCTGTTTTGTTTTAAAAGTTTTTATGTTCTGTGGTTGATGTTGTTTGTTTGTTTGTTTTTATTTTGTTTATTTTTTTGCATACTACATGCAGTTCTTTAACCAATGTCTGTTTGGCTAATGTAATTAAAGTTGTTAATTTATATGAGTGCATTTCAACTATGTCAATGGTTTCTTAATATTTATTGTGTAGAAGTACTGGTAATTTTTTATTTACAATATGTTTAAAGAGATAACAGTTTGATATGTTTTCATGTGTTTATAGCAAAAGTTATTTATTTCTATGGCATTCCAGTGGATATTTTGGTGTTTGCGAGGCATGCAGTCAATATTTTGTACAGTTAGTGGACAGTATTCAGCAACGCCTGATAGCTTCTTTGGCCTTATGTTAAATAAAAACATGTTTGGGATTTAATTTTTTACTTTATGTCTTATTGGTTTTCAAAGATCAACTTTGCACACATATTGCTACATCATTTTCAGGGTGATAATTTTTTTCTACTGTAATTATGGAAGAGTATGAGAAACAGATTGAATGGGAGAGAAAGAACAAAAGCTGGAATGAGAGCTCAAATAGAAAAAGAATATATACTGCTGTGCAGAGGTTTGTAATGGGCTGCAGATGCTTGGAGCAGCAATATTTATATTCATTTTGTTAATTTCACATTTCTTAAACTGTAATGACAAGTAACATGACATAAAGAAACATGTCTTCCCACTTTCTTCTCTCTTTCCCTTTCTCCCTCCTTCATCCTTTCTTCTCTTATTTCTTCCTCTTTTTCTTTCTTGCTAGAAATCTAGAATTACTCAACAGAGCAACTAAAGCTAGAGAAATAAATGCATAGACCATAAAAAGACTGAGACTAATAGGAGCAATTTGAAATCACAGAATTATAGCCAAGAATGAATCGACTGGTCAACTTTTTCTTCTATAGGTTTTTCTCTAGGATCTGTGCCCATCCCAGAGTTTGTTTGTTTTTTTTAACTAAATTTTGTAAATGCTCATATGAACCGTGCTGGTACCCATATATATATATATATATATATATATATATATATATATATATATATATATATATATTATTTTAACTACTCTGAACAGTGGATATTTTATTTTATTTTATTTTATTTTTTTAAATTTAATTAATTTATTTACTTTTTATTTTATTTTATTTTTTTATTAATTAATTTATTTACTTTTTAAATACATTTGTCTCTGCCTTCCCCCCCCTCTTTCCCTTGCCCCCTCCCACCTTCCCTCCCTCAGCTCTTCCCCTTTGGTTTTGTCCATGAGTCCTTGCTATATGTTCCTTGACTTTCCCCTTCCCTTCCCTTTCCCTGCCCCCCCTTCCCTCTTGTCTCTGTTGATTTCTTTTCCTTTCAGTGTTGCTGGTCATATTTGCCTTGCTTCTTTGCATTGTTGGTTAGGTTCCGCTTATAGGTGAGATCATATGGTATTTGTCTTTCGCCCCCTGGCTTATTTCGCTTAGCATGATGCTCTCCAGTTCCATCCATGCTGTCGCAAAGTTTAGTACTTCTTTTTTCTTTCTGCTGCGTAGTATTCCATTGTGTATATGTACCATGATTTTTTGATCCAGTTATCTACTGATGGGCATTTAGGTTGCTTCCAACACTTGGCTATTGTAAATTGTGCTGCTATGAACATTGGGGTGCATAGGTTCTTTTGTATTGGCGTTTTGGTGTTCTCAGGGTATAGTCCCAGCAGGGGAATCACTGGA